CAGTGTTTGCTTTAGATATGATTTTATGTTACGAGATCTGAGGTATCAGAGTATTTGGCTTTGTAGAAACAACCTCAATTGGATGTGATGTAAAATGAGGATTATTTACCTTCTTCACCATCTGTGAAGTGAGAAAGTTGACTATGAACGAGGATTTTTCTCTCAGTTGGAGACTCTGAGACTTTACCCCTGTGAGGGTCCTTTTATTTTTTGGATAAACCAAAACGTCTCTATTTAAATGGATCACACACAGTATCCTCTCCTTTTCTCCCACTCGCTTCCCTCAGGCCGGACCCCCGTTTTATATCAGAATAAACACAGTGTTACAACCACATTTGGATGTGATGTAAAATGAGGATTATTTACCCTTTTCACCATCTGTTAAGTGAGAAAGATTATTAGGAACGAGGATTTTTCTCTCAGTTGGAGACTCTGAGACTTTACCCCTGTGAGGACCCCCATGTGTGATCGTCCTTTAACTTCGAGTCTCCATTTAAATGGATCACACACAGTATCCTCTCCTTTTCTCCCACTCGCTTGCCTCAGGCCGGACCGCTGTTTTATATTAGAATAAACACAGTGTTTGCTTTAGATATGTCTTTATGTTACGGAGATCTGAGGTTGTATTTGGCTTTGTAGAAACAACCTCAATTGGATTTTATGTAAAATGAGGATTATTTACCTTCTTAACCATCTGTGAAGTGAGAAAGTTGATTAGGAACGAGGAGTTTTCTCTCAGTTGGAGACTCTGAGACTTTACCCCTGTGAGGGCCCCCATGTGTGATCGTCCTTTTATTTTCTGGATAAACCAAAACGTCTCCATTTAAATGGATCACACACAGTATCCTCTCCTTTTCTCCCGACTAATATCCATTCGTTTCCGTCCCCTTTAGGCCGCGGCAGCGACTCGGAGTCCGACGGCCCCCCCCACCGAAAGCTTCCCGACGTCCATAAGGACGACATGCTGGCCCGCCGGACCTCGGTCAGCGAACCGCGCACCGTTGTTCCCTTCAACCAGTACCTGCCCAACCGCGCCAACCAGGGCGCCTACCTGCCCACGCCGCTGCGAAAGAGGAGGGGCGACAAGGAGGAGGGGGCCGGGCGCAAGAGCTGGAGTACCGCCACCTCGCCTGTAGGGGGCGACAGACCCAGTAGGTGAGTTTGATGTTGGAAAGAAAGCAAGTGTGAAGGATTGTGATAGAATTTCCCCTTGGGGATCAATAAAGTGTCTATCTATCTATCTATCTATCTATCTATCTATCTATCTA